GGTTGAATCTCTTGGTTTCTTGCCCAGGCTGGCTTTGAACTTCAATTCTTAGATCTCAGCCTCCTGATTATGTAGGATTGCAGGTGTGAGCCACTGGCATCTGGTTATATTTGGATTTTTTATTCCCAGTCTTAGAGCTTGAACTCAGTGCCTGGGTGCTGTCCCTGGGCCTCTTTGTGCTCAAGGCTAGTACTCTACCACTTGAGCCTCAGGGCCTCTTCTGGTTTTTTGAGTAGTTTATTGGAGATAGGGGACTCAGAGTGACTTTTCTGCCCATGCTGGCTTTAAACTGCAATCTTCAGATCTCAGCCTCCTGAATAGCTAGGATCACAGGTGTGAGCCACCAGTGCCTGGCTTGGCTATCTCTCTCCCTTTCCCTCTCCTTCTCCCTCCCATTTTCCCTCTTCCTTTGCCTTCCCCTCTCCCTCTCCCTTTCCCCCCCTTCCTTCCCTCCCCCATGTCTGTGCAATGCATTTCGGAGCATAAGGGCATACTACTCTAAAAGTACAACAATCACAATTTTCCCTTTTTTCTTTTTTGGTCCAAGACTGGGACTCAAACTCTATACCTAATGCTTTTGCTCATTGGCTAGTGCTCTACCATCTGAGCCACACCTGCAACTTCAATAATTTTCCTGTTCATTGCACAATGGTCTGGGACCTTGAGCAAACTAAAATAAATTACACGAATTGCTTGTTTGTGTGTTAATGCCTCAAATCTGTCACATTAAAATTTCCAAAAACAGCTTGGAGCAGAAGGTTGCTGGCCAAGAAAGAGTACCATCAGAGGATTATTCTGGGGTGCCGAGGGAGTGGAGAGCCTGGCTTCTTGACCTTCTGTCCTGCAAGCCTCCTTCTCATCTGGTTTTAATTCTCTTGTTTGTGCACCTTGCCATATTTATTATTGGATTCGTAGTTTCTTCTTGCTGTTTCATGTTCCATGATCCAGTGATTTATGTGAACTCACTGATCTAGATGTTATTTTTGGCATCCAGAGAATGCACCGAGTTCCTTAAGAAGTCTGGGAGAATAAGTGTGTTTTGAGCTACATAATACTGAGGCTGGCCAGATGTCTATCAGTGCATGAAAAAAATGCCAGCTGAAGATGCTTAATAAGAGATATGTCCTCTTCCTAACCCCAGCAACAAAGATGCATTAAAAACCACATATATGGCCAGGCACCGGTGGCTCATGCCTGTAATCCTAGCTACTCAGGAGGCTGACATCTGAGGATCGTGGTTACTTACCCTGCCTGCCCAGGTAGGAGGTCCATGCGACTCTTATCTCCAATTAACCACCAGAAAACTGGAAGTTGTGCTGTGCCTCAAGTGGTAGGCCACTGGTCTTGAGCTGAATAGCTGAGGGCAGTGCCCAGGCCCAGAGTTCAAGCCCTATGACCGACAAAACACACACACACACACACACACACACACCCCATATATATTTTTCTCTCCTTGGTTAAGACTTGGTTAAAAAAAAGTCCCTTGCGGGCTAGGAATGTGTATAGTGCTTTCCTAACATGCATGAAGCCCTGGGTTTAATTCCTCAGTACCACATAAGCAGAAAAAGCCAGAAGTGGCACTGTGGCTTAAGTGGTAGAATGCTAGCCTTGAGCAAAAGAAGCTCAGGGACAGTGCCCAGGCCCTGAGTTCAAGCCCCAGGATTGGCAAAAAAAAAAAAAAAAAAAGTCCTTTGAGAAGAAATCCAACTCAAAAGTACCAATTTCTTCTTTTCTTTCATTTAACTCAAGATGGAAGTGATTTGCTTTCTAAATCAGCAGTGTATTTTGTTTGATTAGGAAATTAAATATCCTGATTTCTGTATTTGTTTGTTGACTTATTTGCTTATTTATTTAGTGCTGGAGTCTTGCTCTGTCACCCAGGCTGTTTTTTTGTCTCTCACAGGACAGACTTCTATCATGTGCAGAAGCCACAGGCACCTGGTGTATTTATCTTTCTTCTTTACTAAATTTAAAAGTTACCAGAGGCCTACCACTTTTCCAAACATCTAGAGAAAACAGTATTTTGGAATTCAGTACTCCAACACTCAGGAGGCAGAGGCAAGAGGATTATGAGTTCCAAATCTGCCTGGGCTCATAGGTGTGTGTGTTTGTGTGTGTGTGAATTTAAAGCTACTTTTGCTGGGTTCTGTGAATTAGTTCATGACCCCCCCTTTGGACAGTTATTCTCTGTTGTGGTCCTTTTGCAATCACCTTGGGCTCAGGAAGGAGAGAAGATTCAGTGCTAAGCATGTTATATGGAAGACAGACGAATGTCCTCAAACAGGGCCTGCCCTTTCTCATTTTAAAAGAAACATTCCAAAACTTAGGAAATCACCCACCAGGAAACTTGTCCCAAAGGTAAAGTGATAACTCCTACAGCGACAAAGACAGCTAGTGGTCAGCAGTACATGTCTGTGGCCAGACTGAACTGTGCAACGCCTCCCACTACCACCTTCACTGCCCTGCCCCAGTTCTCCCTGTCAGCCCATGTCTGCCTCTGAAGACAGCTGGAGATGTCCTGAAGGGCTGTATTCCAAGGCTCTTTACTTGGCATATGGGGAGGAGTAGCTGGACCTAACTTGGGACTCCTGGCCTTTGGGTCTGGGGTATAAACGCCAGGTTTCATGTGTGTGTGTGTGTGTTTGTGTTTTTGGCCAGTCTTGGGGCTTGAACTCAACAGTGCCTGGGCACTGTTCCTGAGCTGCTTTTGCTTAAGACTACCACCGAACCACTTGAGCCACAGTGCTACTTCTGGCTTTTTCTGTTTATGTAGTACTAAGGAATGGAACCCAGGTCTTCATGCATGCTACGCAAACACTACCACTATGCCAACATTCCTAACACAATGTGTATTTGTATGTATGTAATATATATATTTACACATGATATATGATAATATAATAGTTATTGTAACACCGCTCCTGGAATACCCACAATAAAAACTACTACAATTTCTGTATATGTGTGTGTGTGTGTGTGCATGTGTAAGGTCTGCCCCAGGCCATGTAGGTCTTGGCTGCCCTACCTCTTGGCTATGTCTCTGCCCAGTACCTGTGTCACCTACGTAACTGGCACACCCGCCCCTGATCCAACGGGAGGCATGACCTGGGGCAGACCAGGATATGATCTCGGAGCAGGAGTCTTCAGGTATGCCAGTTACCTAGGTGACACATACTGGGAGAGACTTAGCCAAGAGGCGGGGAGGCCAGGGTCTGCATAGCCTAGGGCAGACCTTACAATGTATATATAATGAATCTTCCCAACAAGTAAGATAAAGGCTATATAGGTTCACTCTTGGGTTATATTTTGCCATTAAATAATGACAAAATAATCTTTTAGGTAGAATTTTTAGAACAAAATCTCCATTCAGACAAGAATGCCTAGTTACATTTGAATGTTAACTTTTTGTTTTTCTTTGCACATTTTTTATTTCATGTTTATATAGTGAGGGGTGAGGGAAAACTAATTTAGCATTGGTTGCATGGAGCACTTACCCTACAGAAGCAGTGTTTTATCAGGTGTGGAAATGCAACAGTGAAATCTCCCTCTGTATTACCTACATAAGCCAATAAAAATGTTTATCTAGAATTAGTTATACTTCAATGCCTTGTTTTTTGTTGGCAAAATAAAGCTTTTTGGGGGGATCCTTAAATTGCAAATAAGGGTAACATGCATTTAGAAGTGTCCTAACTGAAAAAACAGCTCCTCTTCTAGTAGAGTTTAACTTTCGGTCCTTTTGAACAGAATTATAGAAAACAGAATTTTATTAAGCATGCTTATATCCATAGGGTATGTGAAATATGAAGCCTGTTGCATAGCCAAATGAGAAATCAAGATATTCTAAATGTTTTAAATAACTTAGGCTGGGAACGTGGCTTACTGGTAGAGAAGCCCTGAGTTTGATTCCTCAGTACCACATACACAGAAAATGCCAGAAGTGACGCTGTGGCTCAAGAGGTAGAGTGCTAGCCTTGAACAAAAGCTCAGGAACATTTTCCAGGCCCGAGTTTAAGCCCCAGGACTGGCTAAATAAATAAAAACAAAAAAAAAACCCTCTAAAAACAATTTGTGCTGTGCATTATGGTAAGTTTTCTGCCACCTATTAAACAGCTGTGTTATAATTTACAAAATCCTCCAGAAACATGTATCTCCACCTAGTGGAAAGAAGATACAATTGCAGTCCCTCACAGCTGAGTGGTACTAAAATATGTGGCCTTACACATACACACAAATATTTAGACATGTCTCTGAGCGTCAGTAACAATCCAAAAGCACATAGATATGGTTCTTCCAAGAACTGCTTTTTACTTTGGATTGCTCTTTTCTACAAAACATTAATTTTTATTGTGTCTAAGCATCAACATTCTAAGCTCATTTCCATCCCCCTTCCCTTTTTCCCCCCAGTCATGGGGCTTTTACTTGACTTGGGTGCTGTTCCTGAGCTTTAAGGCTGGCACTCTTACTTTGAGCCACAGCACCACTTCCAGTTTTTTAGTGGTTAACTGGAGAAAATAATTTCATGGATTTTCCAGCCCTGGCTGGGTTAGAACAGTGATCCTCGGACTTGTCTCCTGAGTGGCTACCATTGCAGGCATGAGCCACCAGCACCTTGCTCCCATGCCTTCTATTTACTTACAAATTATCATTAGTTTTGAGTCTGGGTATGTGACCCTGGCTGCTTTCTACCTCTCCATTCTCTTGCCTGAGACTCCTCAGCATTGGAATTATAGACCTATACCACCAACCCTACCCACCAACAGTCACAACCTCTGAAGCATTAAGATATCTGTGGGCTAGAAATTAAACAGCTTCCAGTTTACCCAGAACCTTTATGCTAATCTAGAAGTACCTCAACCTCAGCACCCTCATGGAACCCAGGACATTATTCACAAATTGTGACAGTCTTCATCCCAATATCTAGAGTCTCTGGAACACTTTAAATTAACAAAACTTAGAACTCCTGGAAAAATTCTATCAGCTGTTAAAAGCAAACCCATATAAACAGCATCTTAAATACAATAATTTTTATTCATTGTATGTCTAGACATTTCTTCTTTACATATCATTTACTAAAAAAGCAATGCCAGACACAGGAAGCCAACTAGTCCTCAGATTCTGAGCCATCCTCATCTTGGCTTATCTGGAAGTAGCGAAGTTCGTAAGTCTCCTTGTCAGATGCAACCACTCGAAGCCAATCACGAAGATTATTCTTCTTCAGATACTTCTTGGTAAGGTACTTCAAATACCTTAAAAACAAAGATCATGAATTTCATTAAGCAATACAATCCCTATTTTGTTTGGAAGATCCACTGTTGTACTAATCTTTTGAAACCCCCAATTCACCCCTAAACCTTTTTTCAGTTGGTCCTGGGTGCTGTCCGAGCTTTTGTGCTCAAGGCTAGCATTCTACCACTTAATCCACAGCTCTGCTTTAGGCTTTCCTGGTGGTTAATTGGAGACAAGAGTCTTAAGGAATTTTTTTTGCCCTGGTTAGCTCTGAACTGAGATCCTCACATAGCAGCCTCCTGAGTAGCTACGATTAAGAGCTACTGGTGCTGTTTTCTATTAAACACTGTACAAGACTGCTCAACACTGAGAGCTGTTCCCAGACTGTTACTAATGCAAGTAGTATTTCTCTTGATCTTCCCTCTTATGGCTTTCTCTGTGGGAATAGTTAATCCCAATTTGCTAGGTTCACTCTTCGAATTTCATTTGAAGCTTGCAGACCCTTCTTGCAAAAGTGGGCAGCATCCCCCCCCCATTGTTGGGCTACTTAGCTCTACTACAGAGATTTCACATAATACCACTTTTCACTGAGCAAGTGAAAACTGACAGCAAGATGGTGAGAAATTTTGCCTTTGGTTGGCTGCCAAACCTTCAAAACTATGCCACTTAAAAAAAATCTCTAAAATTACTATTCTACGATTCTTCCATTAAAATCTGTATAAGTACCAACCTTTTGGAGAACTGTTTCTCAGAAACAACAGTGATTTTGTTTTTGAAGCGTTCAATGTGAACAACATTCCCGAGATTTCCGGTTTTCCCATTGACTTTAACCTTCTCTCGAAGAAACTGTTCCTATTTTAAAACAGAAAAGATGCAAAACTAGGGAAGAAAACCCTAGATATTCACTAGGGAAGGTACCCTAGGAAAATGACTTTGATTAATATTGATTATAAACTTGAATGATCAAGAACTACACAAAGACATAAGACAGTAAAAATGATACCTACAAAATTTCCAGAGTCAAAAATTCCATCTTCTACTGGATGGGTAAGGTCCAAATTAAACTTCCAGGTTGACCTCTTAGGCTTCTTGTCTTTCTGCTACACAAATTAAGCATGAATTATGACAGGGCAAGACATTTAGTTTATACACAAAACTTGTTAATTGAACTCAGGGCCTGGACACTGTCCCAGACGTTTTTTGCTCAAGGCTAGCGCTCTACCACTTTAACCACAGCTCCACGGTTAGCTTTGTCTGGTGGTTAATTGGAGGTTAAGAGTCTCATGGACTTTCTTGTTCCAGGTTTGAACGGCCATCCTAGCTGCTCAGTCCCCTGAGTAGCAGGCAAGAGCCATTGCTCTGACATTTTAAAGCCATTCTCAGACTTCAGATAAGGAACAGATGCATAGTACCTCCTTCTAACCCAAATTGTTAGCTGCCGCATCAGGCTTCCACCAACGATGTCTATGGGATTCAATACTCAGTTACAGGTAAAAAGGTGGCTTTTGGTAACCAAGATCATCAACATACGTCCAATGAAACGAAGCAAAACCCATCAATTTTTAATCTCCAATGAGGCCCCACCATTCTTCGGTCTGCTTTCATGTGCCATCCTGCGTGGCCTCCACCGTCCCCAATCTCAAAACTCGGCAGAGACTAGCGAGATGCTGGACTCTGAATTCAGTTCAACTGGTTAACTCTTTGGGACTTAACGCCCGAATGGACATTACTCAGTTCTGTGTACAGCCTATTTTTAACAAGCTGCTAACACAATCTTAAGTCTTCAAGGACTCTTTGAAGCATTTTGTCTCTTAAACACCTAAGTCATATTGGAGACCGATTGCAGCGTTTCCAGCGAGCAGGTGGTGCGCCTTCTGGGTAGGTGCTCTACCACGTGAGCCACGCCCCTAGCCTGACTGTACTCCCTCCACGATCCTGCTCGGGCCGGCCTCAAACCTCCATCTCTCGGATCTCAGCCTCCCGAGTGGCTAGGATGACAGGCGTGAGCCACCGGCGCGGGACCAAGTGACTTTTGCGCTTTAGAACGCTTCTTCCTCAACTTACACGTTTCGGGAAACTTTCTTAACCCAGGTCCCGAGGGCGCGGGGCCCCCGCCGCGGCCTCGCGCTAACCGGGCCGCAGGCCCGGGACAGCCTGGGCGATGGGAAACCAGCCTGGGCGCGTAGCGCCTGCGCAGCGTTCCCGACCCGGGCGCTACTTTCCCCGCCCTCGAGTCGGCCCTGTTCGCCAGAGGCCTAGGGAGTCCCACCGCGCGCCCGCACACTTAGAACCGTCCTGCCAGGCGCTCGCTCGCACACTCACCGGCGCCATCTTGCCGGCAGGCCGTGGGATCCGAGAGGGCTCGGCGCACGCGCAGCACGCTTTTATACCGCAGGGTGCCGTCACGCGCCGAGGGCGTAAGCCCTGACGTAGGGAGGAGCGCACGGGTGGGGTGGGGTGTGTCTGTTGTGCTGTAACCTAGGACGCTGGGGCGTGGCCCGGGCAGCGTTTCTATGCGCGCCCTCTAGCGGCCGTGGCTATCATAGTTGGCTCTCTGCTGCCATGGACCACATTGGTGGCTACTGGGATGCAGATACAGAATGGAAGAGGATTCTTGTCCATAAGGAACTTCCTTTCAACCAGGCAAGGCAGTATGTGAGCTTTGGGATCTCTTTTTCTTCTTTCTGTGCCGGTCTTGGGACTTGAACTCAGGGCATTGTCCCTGAGCTTTTACGCTCAAGGTGAGAGCTCTACCACTTGAGCTACAGCTCCATGTCCAGCTTTTTGTTGGCTAATTGGAGATAAGAGTCTCATGGACTTTTTTTTTTTTACCCAGACTGGCTTCAAGCCGCGATCCTCAGATCTCAGCCTCCTGAGTAATTACAGGCGTGAGCTCATAGTGAGCCCAACTTTGGGATCTTTTATATTGTAATTGCAATGACGTTTTATTTCTGTATCTATTTTGCCTGTGAGTCATTTTCTAAACAATTGTATAGGAAATTCAGTACATCAGAGCACCAAAATAAGATTCCAGGCTGGGGACTTAAGAAAAATACTCCTGGTGCAAACCTTTTGTTGACAAGTTGGGTATAACTGATTCTATTCGATTGTGGCTTTTATTGCTAACCCCAGATCTATTGCTGACTGACAGTTAAAATTCAGTGTATGTTTGCTGTGACCTGACTGATAACATGCAAGATACATGAGGGTAGTGGCATCTTGATAACAGAAATAAACAAAAAGCTTTTGCGGTTAGGATTATAAATTGATGTCAGCTTAGTAAGGTCTCACAATAAGGTCTCACAGTATTTAGCAACAATAAGGTGCTGTGGAGATAAAACTATAGTATATAGCGGTAATGAGTAGAATGGACTTTGTCAGTTTGGAAGAGGCTCCATAGAAGGTGACAAGTAGGTATGTCTTCTATTCCCAGCGATTACTTACAAAACTAAGCTTTAATAGTAGCATGTGTTGTGCATAGTCTGCCTACACATGCTTGATACCTAGAAGATGTCCATTTTAATAAAAACTGTTGTTTGCCTCTCTCTCTTGCCAGTCCTGGGGCTTGAACTCAGGGCCTGGGCTCTGTCCCTGAACTTCTTTTGCTCAAGGCCAGAACTCTACCACTTGAGCCACAGCATCATTTCTGGCCTTTTTTGTTTATGTGGTACTAAGGAATCAAATGTGGGGCTTCATGCATGCTAGGCAAGCCTGCTACCACTAAGCTACCTTCCCAGCCTTCAATCTCTTTTTGACAGCGGCCTCTAAAACATTTAACAATAAGTCTGAAAAGAGCCAAGGAATGAGGGCAAATGTACATTTCTATCTATGTGACTGAGGGGCTGCAGTATATAACAAGTATATACAACAAGTTGTTATATATACAAGTATATACAACTTCAAGATACAAATATACAACTTCAAACATCTACATGAGATTAGATTCTGAGCAGACAAACTTTTTAATGACATGAGCTCTATAAAACAATTCCTAAAATATAGCTTTTTAAGTAACTCTGTGTGTGTGTGCGCCTGCCAGTCTTAAGAACTCAGGGCCAGGGCACAACCCTTGGGTTTTGTGCTCAAAACTAGTACTCTACGACTTGAGCCACAGCTCCAACTTTTGGCTTTTTGGTGATTAATTGAAGATTCCCACAGACTTTCTTGTCTGGGCTGGCTTAGAACTAAGATTCTCATATCTCAGGCTCCTAAGCTAGAGTTACAAGTGTGAGCCACTGGCACCTGGCTATAATTTCTTTTTTCCAGTCCTGGGTCCTGTCCCTGAGCCTCTTTGTGCTCAAGGCTACCACTCTACTACTTGAGCCACACCACTATTTCTGGCTTTTTCTGAGTAGTTTATAGGAGATAAGAGTATCATGGACTTTTCTGCCTGAGTTAGCTTTGAACCATGATCTTCAGATCTCAGCCTCTTTAGTAGCTAGGATTACAAGTGTGAGCAACATTTTTAATGAATGGTTAAGCTGGTGGGAAAGTAAATGATTTTTCAGAGGTTAGAATGACAAGCCATGCTCATGTAGATTTAGAGTCTGAATTATTCTGCCCAGAGCACATAAAGGCCTAACTAAAAATGTAGTTAGTGTGCTTGGATTGTAAGTGGCAGACAGAAGCAAAAGCAAATGCTCTCTGGAGAAATGTACCTTAAATTGAGACACAAACAATTCCTTGATATAAACTCCCAGAAATATGAAGTGACTTGCTAAAAATTACTAAATACATAAGAAAACAAGAAACTCCAAAACCTATAAAAGCTTCAGAACATGATATAATAATACTATGTTTACAATTTATTCCATAACATGCTAAGGGAACTAGAGACAGTAAAAATTTGACAATATTTTAAAGAGAAAACTAGTTCTAGGAATTAAAAAAAATTGAAATTAGAAAAGATGAGCTACACAGGGAAGTAGATACAGTTGAAGAGAAAATTAAAATGCACAATAGAAAAATAAGGAAAACAAGGGGCTGGGAATGTGCTAAATTACTTGCCTAGCATGCGTGAAGTCCTTGGTTCAATTCCTCAGTACCAAATGAACAGAAAAAGCCAGAAGTGGTGCTGTGGCTCAAGTGGTAGAGTTCTGGCCCTGAGCAAAAGAAGCTCAGGGACAGAGCCCAGGCCCTGAGTTCAAGCCCCAGAACTGGCAAAAAATAAAAAATAAAATAAGGAAAGGAAGTGGAGGCATATCTGTAGTTCTAGCTACTCATGAGGCTGAAGTGGGAAATTACTTCAGTCTGTGACTTTAAGACCAGCCCAAATGAGAGCACAAGAGACAGATGGGGAGGACAGATGGCGCAGGCTGGGGAGGTGGGGAAGTCGAAGGAGAGAGAGAGAGAGGAAGATAGAGACAGATATAAAGGATATCAAGAGTATGAGTATTCCCATTGAGTTAGGGGACAGTTGGACAGTTCCAGAGGATCTAATAGAGATAATGGGTAAAAGGTAACATACAGATAATACCCGAATTCTCAAGATTAAGGAAGCCCAATAAACCTCACTCTGGGTAACTGAAAAGAAATATACACATTCACTTTAGTGAAACTTCCAATCACAAGGACAGAAGTATTTAAGAACTCAAAGGAGACTGGCATCAGTGGTTTATACCAATGATCCTGGCTATTCAGGAGGCTGAGATCTGAGGATTGAGATTCTGAGCTTGCCTACCAAGACAAATCTGGAGACTCTTATCTCTAACCAGGAAAAAGCCAGAAGTGGAGCTGTAGATCAGGTGGTAGAGTGCCAACTGTATGAAGTGGGAGTTGAAGTCCGGTGTTTAAGCCCCAGTGCAGGCACCAAAAACATTTATGCTGATGTAGAAAGACCCTGTTTCCAAAAAATGAAAAGGCTTGAGGTGTGATAGAGCACCTGCCAGTGCTCAATTTGAGCCCTGAGTTCAAACCCCAGTATCAATTCTAAAAAAATGAACCACACAGTACTGATTAATATGTACGATTTGTTTAATAAATCAGTTGTAATCGTTAAGAGCTACAGTGAAACAGTTTATGCTGTTCATGCATCTCTTCTTTCAATGTATATTTACAAAGTCTTTTTTTTTTTTTTAACAGTTTAGTGAGTTGTAGTTTCAGCCAAGAAAAGTTTTTCTTGTTAAACAGTGCTACAGGAATTTGGAATACTGATCAATCTTTTCTTGTCAGTTGAGGGGCTTAACTCAAAGCTTGGGCACTGTCCCTGAGCTCTTTTGCTTAAGACTAGTGTTCTACTACTTTGAGTCACAGTGCCACTTGTTTTTTTGTTGGCTAACTGGAGCTAAGAGTCTCATGGACTTTTTCCTGCCAGGGCTGGCTTTGAACCACAATTCTAAGATCTCAGCATCCTGAGTAGCTAGGGTTACAGGTATGAGCCATTGGTGCCTGGCTAAAAACTATTTTTTCTAATTGCTTCACTTTTTATAACTTGTTTGCAGATCATATAGTCATTTTGGTGCCCATTTACATTGTTTAATTAAATAGTGCTTTTTGTCTTTAGACAGATCATGAGTGCAAGATGACAACTGTTAGGGTAGCCCTAGCAAGGCTCATAGGTCAGGAGGTGAACAGGTCATGTGGTTCAACACAGAATTGGAAAAATGGTGAAGGGCTGGCTAACAGGCTTCATTACCACACTTGAGTGGACACAGTAAAAGCACTGCTATCCCATCAGGAAGGGAAAGAACACCTCAGACCTGGGGAAGTCAGCAGTGAGAGAACCTTTAACCTATCTGGCAGTACATGTCTCTGGAGAAAATGCTCAAGAAAGGGATGGAGATGGAGAGAAAGTTGTATTCTTTAGTTTCTGTTGCTTTCTAACCAAGTGACTATTTTACACATTAAAAAAAAATACTCCACGTTGGTTCCTAGTTCCTGTCTCAAAATAGTATTGTAGGCCTGTAGCAAGTCCTACAATAAAGCAAGAAACAAATGCTTTTTAACCCCCAATCTTTGAAGACATTACCAAAGACATGGACCATGGAATTATCGAGGAAGGTAGGGTTCTGAGCCACATTTAGAAGGGCAGTCACATACTCCATTGAAATCCATTCTATAGGACTATAGTGATAGTACCCTAACCTGGAACTAAACTTTAGAGATTTTTGTCTTAGCCATAAAACCACTACTTTAAGGACCTATAATATAAAACACTAAAAATTAAAGCTATATTTTTGTTTTAAAAATGATGACATAGCCAGGTGCCAGTCTTTCATGCTTGTAATCCTACTCAGGAGGCTGAGATCTGAGGATCATGGTTCGAAGACAGCCTGGGCATGAAAGTCTGTGAGACTCTTATCTCCAATAAACTACTCAGAAAAAGCAGGATGTGGCATTATAGCTCAAATAGTAGAGTGTTAGCCTTCAGTAAAAGAAGCTCAGGGACAGTGCCTAGTCCCTG